TGAAATTATATGCCGATCGATTCATTGAGGCTTAGCATCAACTCTTGCGGAAAATTCATTCACAATGTTCCAAATTACCTTTTCCCTTCATATCACGCGTTGCCGACGATTGTTGCAATTATTCATGATATTCACGTACATGATCGTTACAGGTGAAAAAAAAAACACTCCCTTACTTAAGGAGGTATCTCACTGAGCGGCGAATGCTTGCTTGAGGTTTCGCCAGGGTTCGTAAAAGGTTGCAAAAGGTCGCAAACAGTTTTCAATGTCGCAAACAGTTTGTGCGGTCGCAAAGAAATTTTGAACAATCCATGTTCAAATTCGCAAAGAAAAATTGTTTGCGACAATGAAAACTGTTTGCGAACTTTCTTGCAAACTTTTACGAACCCTTACCTGGCGAATCCCCAAATTCGCTACGTTCGCAAGCATTCGCCGCTCAGTGAGATACTGATTCCCAAGCACCTTACTCCCTTATTTGTGTTTTGTTTTGATATTTGTTTTCTTTTCTTTTCTAAAGTGTTGTTTGAAAATAAGTTTTCACCATAGCATGGACACTGCGTCGTCCCAAGAAATAATTTTGGGCCTGGAAACCTTTTTTTTGCTAATTCCATCGATAGCAAATCGAATCAATGTTTTATTTCTTTCATAAATCAAGCAAGTAAAATGTTGTATTATAATACCAGACATCAAAATGATATAACTATTCTTTTAAATGTGTCTCAAAGATGGTTCACAATGAAATGTCGAACATTGCAAGGGCTGGCGGCATGGCTGTTGAACACGAGAGGAGGCGGAAAGGAATCGAAAAACGACGAGAGATAAATACCAGACAAGAGGAAATGAAGAGTTTTGTCTCGACAGGGGGGGGGGGGGGTGTTGCGATCCAACGTCTGATAAACCTGATATTGTACACTCAAATCGTACTTTGACTAGAGGGAAAAGTGAACACAAGAAGAATTCGAATGAGATCAATTCCCTCTCTGTCCTCAATATTTTGCTAACATTTGATACTTTGCAAAGATCGACCGTGCTTCGCTTTGCTTCCATCAGTATCCAAGGTAAGTTTAGATTCTGATACGAATCTAGCCTACTTTGAGAAGGGTTCCTTGCCTCTCGTAGATGTAGTTCGCATGAGTTTGAATCAATCATTGCTGCTGAACGCGACACAGATGCATGTACAGATAAAACATAGTTAATTTTGAAAGTCAACACAAGTCTATGGCTGTTAGACACAGAATGTTAATTAGAAGGATTGTACCCACAGGAATGCAAAGGTGTCAGAGGTGTATGATTATAGCTTTCTGTCTAAACGAAGTCAATTTTAGACAAAGTAATAATTATCGTCCCGCGCTAATGTATAATAAGCGCATTCGGAGAAACAATCTGCGCATGGGCATATAAGTTCAATCGTGCTAATTTGTAAAACCCATTGAGATGGAAAATGGATACGTGATCATGAAAGGACCCGTTATCAATTTTATGCACCACTGGCGCGTTGCCTGAGAGGTATTCTTTTCAGAAGGAAAAAGGAAAGCTGTTCTTCAAAAACCTCCGTCACCTTGGGAGTAATTATTCAAAAAATACACAAAGTGAGACTTCTCCTTGTTTTAAGCATGTGCAGATATTCTGTGGGCCATTCAACATGTTCAGTGCATGTGCGATTTACACTTCTGTTACTTTGGGAGTAATTATTATAATAATGCACAAAGTTGGACTTCTCCTTGTTTTAAACACTTATATATTTGTGGGCCATGTAACATGTTCAATGCATGTGCGATTTAAGACTTAACGAACCATTTTTATCATAGAATGTTGCCCTTAATTTAGACTTTTCTCCAATATGCACGATACGAAATAATATATTAAGTATTCATGTGAACATTTAAAGTATTCAACATTTGGGGACAAAACAGGAAAAAAAGTCCACAATCTGTAATATAATCAAGAAAATACATCAGTGAACACCCCTTACCTGATATTGATAAAGATGATTTGTAGCTGTAGTAAGTTGTGGCATTTTTTTTTTTGGAAAGTTGCTCCATGAAATAAAAACAAAGACAAACCAAAGTTTTCGTTTTCTGTTGTTTAGAACTTTAGTAACCGGGACGACAAGTGAATAGTAGTATGACGTTAGCAATTCGGTACTATACGGTATTTCCTTAATAGATTTTAAGACGAATTTAAGCATTATTCAATAACAACACGATCGCAGAGACTGAAACAAATTGAAAATCAGTCCGGCGATTTAAATAGCTTCTCGTCACCTTTTGGAATGAGCGAACATTACAAAGACGTACAGGGTATTACGTAATCCAAATATGATTTCCACGGGCAATACGATAAGGTCGTAAACTTGCCTTTCAGTTTATTTCTAGACAGTCTTTGCGATGTTGTTCCACTTGAAACACTTGCTACTAAAATGTTGAACATCACCTTTAAACCGGGATTATCATGAATGTTGCATCTCTGGTGAAAATCAGAGACACGAATTTGGTCTAAGATGAATGAATTCACGACCCTCTACGGGAACGGAAATCGGTTACGTGGGACCCTTGGCAACGCTAACGGAATCGACTCGAATCGCATCTCACTGATAAATTAGAATAACAGATTGGATTGTGTGGCGGGGAGGAAGCTACGAAGTAATCGGACATTTTGAGAACGCCCCTCGGTTGGGGGTCTTCGTTTAGTAATAATCTCGAATAAATCCGAACAGCAATTACCATTCGATCTGTGCTGGAAGCGAGGGGCATACTAATCTGGCAATAATTCGTATTTGATGTCGAACTTTCACCCATTTTCAGTCGATAATCTGACAAACTTTCGATGCAGCAAGATCAGCTAACTGGTGCCTAGATATAAAATATGCGAGTTCTTTACCCGTTAATGTTTCTTTTTGTTTTTGTATTAAATGCTAGAACAAACACCGTTCACTCTATACAATCGAATTCTTCGACGCTTGCAAGCCTAGGGGCTTCATTTCGTCTAAGATTATAGGGTTAGGGTTTCCATTTGGTCCGGGTCACTTTAGGTGGAGTGATGGGTAATGTGTTGGAGTTAAGATTTCGGTAAGTTTGGGGATTCCGAGTGATTGGAAGTGATCGAGTTTAAGAACATTGTGCCGTCTACGTTTCAATAATGAGATGAAGAAAAGAGACTCGAGAAAGCTTTATCAAATGATTATCTCTTTTTCTTCATAAAAGCACATTATTTTCCTAAGCCTACGCCATTTTGGGTCATGTAGACAAGCCCATTAATAATTCTTTGTCTTCATTAGTTTCTTCTTAGAGACTTCGTGGTCTAGTGGATGAGTAAGTACGGCGTTCGAATCCCTGCTACATCACTGACGTACTTTGACAAGACAATTGTCATCATCACTATCATCATAAACACCATCATCACTATCATCATAAACATCATCATCATCACTATCATCATAAACATCATCATCATCACTATCATCATAAACATCATCATCATCACTATCATCATAAACATCATCATCACTATCATCATAAACATCATCATCATCACTATCATCATAAACATCATCATCACTATCATCATAAACATCATCATCATCACTATCATCATAAACATCATCATCATCATTGGTTCGACGTAATGGGTGTATGTTTGTTTGTGGAATTTGTAATATGATATGTCAAATAGTATTACTTAGGTGTAATTATAGGTGAATTAGTTTACTCTTCCATTAATATTTATTTTGCCATTTGCGTATCTACTTTGTTATTTATTATGTTGTTTATATTTTCAATTTTTTTTCATGATTGTAAAGCGCATAGAGAAATTTTCAATCTATTATGCGCTCAATAAATATTCTCTATTATTATACATCAACATCATCCTCATCATTAACATCATCACCATTACCATCATCATCTCCATCATCATCATCATCATCACCATCATCACAATCATTACCATCATCATCTCCATCATCATCATCATCATCATCACCACCATTATCACAATCATTACCATCATCATCATCACCATTACCATCCTCATCTCCATCATCATCATCACCATTACCATCATCATCATCTCCATCATCATCATCATCATCATCATCATCATCACCATTACCATCCTCATCTCCATCATCATCATCACCATCATCATCACAATCATTACCATCATCACCATTACCATCCTCATCTCCATCATCATCATCACCATCATCATCACAATCATTACCATCATCACCATTACCATCCTCATCTCCATCATCATCATCACCATCATCATCACAATCATTACCATCATCACCATTACCATCCTCATCTCCATCATCATCATCACCATCATCATCACAATCATTACCATCATGACCATTACCATCCTCATCTCCATCATCATCATCACCATCATCATCCTCATCATTAACATCATGACCATTACCATCCTCATCTCCATCATCATCATCATCATCATCATCACAATCATTACTATCATCATCATCACAATCATTACCATCATCATCATCATCACAATCATTACCATCATCATCATCACAATCATTACCATCATCACCCTCACCATCATCATCACAATCATTACCATCATCATCACAATCATTACTATCATCATCACAATCATTACTATCATCATCATCACAATCATTACCATCATCATCATCATCACAATCATTACCATCATCACCATCACAATCATTACCATCATCATCATCACAATCATCATCATCATCACAATCACCACCATCATCACAATCATCACCATCACCATCACAATCATTACCATCATCATCATCATCTCCATCATCATCACAATCATTACCATCACAATCATTACCATCATCACCATCACAATCATTACCATCACCATCATCATTATCATCTTCCCTACCAACGACATCATAATTATCAGCATCAACAGGGCCAACATAATTTTGTAAAATTTCATTCCATGTTAAAAACACCAGATACTCAAACATATAAACTCAGAAAACAATTCCATACAATATTGTTATATCTTTAATATCTTATCATTACAAGCAACAAATGCAATTGTTAGAATACATTTTGTCAGCATCATTTAGATACACAACAATACCTTTGATGTAAATCTGTCACCATTATGGAAGTTACCTGAACTTCCGTCATTCTTACATCACAGAATCTTAAACATTGAAATCTTTTTAAATGGAAGACATTCAGATTTACATTAATCTCCACATCTGAATATATTCCTTAACAATTACAAATGTAATCACCCCTCTGCTCCTGATACTCATGCAGCCCTTTATGCATATTTTGTTTTAAAACTGTCATTTTAGTTAGTTTTCACAGAAATATTGATATCCATACAGTACAACAATACGTGCATGATTAGTGTGTACAATGTGAGACGAACAGGAAGTGACTATAACTAGAAGATAAAACCCCACAATTCATTATTTGATTTCATAAAATGTACTGCACAGAATTAGTGACCATGCTCAGTTGATATAGTTTAATCAGTTTGAAACATATTTTACAGTGCTGTCATTAAATGTTTTAATAGATTCTTGGATAGCTGCGAACAATTTACTATTCGATGCAGTCTTTACCCGTCCTTTACAGATGTTATATTACATAGTGATCAGTGTATGCTGTAGTATCATGATATCGCCTTTACATTTACTGCATCAGTATGAAGAGTTTGAGAAAGAAATTACATTAAACCCCCAAACCGACACAAAGAAAGATAACACATCTCACTATGTACTTGCATAAAAGAATGATTTGAATTCTGATTTATGGAAATATATATATTTTTTGTTGGATATACGATGTTTTCATATGATACACTAGCATTCAATACTTTAAAACAGAATGAAAGACGAAACAATTTAAGAGACTGCATTTTGGGAAAACCTTTCACGTGATAGAAAATAACACAGTTGTTATTTTGTACATACACTCTTTCCCCCTTATATACTTTTAAATCTAAACAACTTATTTATTATTAATAAATGATGGTGCTACGGGACCGTATACTGTTTGAATAGTCTCTTTATGTGGGCATATGAATATAATATAGCTTAGGGCTTACGTAAAATGGCATACAAATAAGTGGATATTTTAATCTGTCTACAATATGATGATATAGTGATTTTGTTATAAGCCTTTTAAAATTATCATTAAGAACAATAATATAATGGGAGAAAGCAAATCGTCTTGACTACAACTATCCAAATGGAATATATGTACTTTGAATGTGCATAATACATTGAAAATATGTCACAAATATGAACGCTAATATCAGCCAATACCCTTTACCCATACAACAATGCAAACTTGAGGGATTTGTCTAACAATCACCAAAACGAGTGTATCCAATACTTACTGCTAACAATTCAGAAAGAATGTTTGACCATTGACGGTTTTTGGAATGGAATTACTTATTTCTTGCAGTTATGAACAATGTTATACCAAAAAAAATTACACTACATTAACATTTTATTGGGAGAGAAGCATAATACATTTAGTTACTTGTTGTTATGCTGAGACAATCATTATCATACATCAGCCCTGCATTGGGGTGTAATGAGTGTTGAATAATGAAATTATATTGACTAAAGAAAATATGAGAAGAGATAAAACATGCAATTAAAAACTCAAGAATATAATATAATGCAAACAAAAAAGAGCACCAAATGTAAAATTCAACAACAAAATGAAATAAAAGAAGAAAAAGATGAACATAAGTTTACATATAAAAGTTTTTAAAAATCTACACCACACAAAATATATATGATCTTGAATATGTTGCACCTCTCCTTTAGAATTTCACTAAGGAAACCTTTCCCTTCCGCAAAACATAATTATGACAAAAAACATTATGCCTTGAAACATGAATAGGAAAAATATTCAAATTTGACAAGAAAGTAAATTATATTACATGCTTGAATTATCATGTGATGCTAGAAAAAAAAAATCATATTTCTATGAAGACCAACTGACAGTTTGATCATATGAGGTAAATTAAAATACATGTATATCTTCCTTCTCAAAATTAAACAGGATAAAACTTAAAAGTAAAGTAAAACCGTGGTTTTACTGTTCACGCTCATTTGGCTATACCTAGTATATCATAAGTTATACCCGAGATTAAAGAAATACAGAAGACTTTCAAGTCTTGTATTTTCATTAGACATCCTTTTAATCTTTTTAATACAAGTGCAATTCTCATTTTTACCTTAAAAATATTTACATAATATATATGTGACAGAATGCGTTACATGCTTGTTTATAGTATTCTGTTGCTTTACAATTGCCATAGCAACATCTACCTCCAATAATCCAAATACAAACTAAGTACTGCAAACATATGTGTCCCTGTAATCTACAATATTTTGTCCAATAATGCTTTCTTATATATGAAAAATAATTTGAAATACTAGAATGAATAGGATAGATTTCGTATTTGAAGAAGACAATACTGTTTCATTAGTCTGCATAAGTTTTAAACCCTATGCTTTATAAATGTATTATCACATAACGATAAACTTTGATGGGGGAAAATAAAATCAGGAAAAATTGCCCAAGTTGCTCCATGCTACGTTAGCCAAGGCACTAAGAAATCACATTTCACCAGAATAATATATATTTCTTGGAAACAGCAATAATATTCATTTCAGCTTTTCCAATTTAGTACAGCTATTACCTACAAAGAGACAGACAAAGATATATACACATTCCTTTTGTTTTTATTTACATATTTTCCAATTAAATTATTTACACATTTGCATTCTTATTACATCCATTTCAATTATAGACAAATAGTATTCCATTCAGGAATCTATCATATAACATTGCATTTTGATTACATTTCATAATTATCTCCATGTAGGGTAATACTTATGACATAAGCCAAAAAGAAGAAAAAAAAACCAATGACAAGGGGTTACGATGAATTACATGTAATAACAAGTATTATCAATTCTTATTTATTTTACTGAGGTTTTGTCAGAAAACCAGCTGGTGAATGTTTTGGCTAAAATATTTGCTTCCTAATAAAATATACTCCTATTCAAGAGGGATATAATAAAATGTTAAGAACAATAAGGTTTATAACCATATCACTATATAATTTTCTGAAGGAACATTGCATGGTATACTACACAATTCTATTACTAAAAGATCATGGCCCTCAAATGTATGATGACATCAATCTCAATGTGATTAAAGAGAGTATGTATCACAAATACAATTATGAAGTGCTTTGAAACTGGCGGTGAAAAGAACTCTTAGGAGCAAGGCTGAAATATCTGAAAATAAAAACATCTGTGCCTTGGGGGACTTCATGCGATGACAAAACGTCACTCTAGGTTACATCGTAATCAGGCACTTATCACATAATAACCGGCAGAAGGGAAAAAAAATGATTTCCCTTAACGGCTGTGCCTGTCGATGGTGACAAGGTTGCCAATTTAATGAACAATGGGCATATCTCATCTTCATCATCATAATCAGATTCTCTGCTGGGGGCAAACAGATGCCGCATACTTTCACTTCTAGCCGTTTCTTAAAATATAATCCTTTTCATCTTGAATTGGGCAGGGAATGACGGTGTGGAGTGAAAGAGGAACGCAAAATTACTTGGGATATTGTTTAACTGAGCCCCTTGGCTGCGTTTTCTTATAAACTCTTCCTCTAAAATGCATATTCCAAGCATTCCTTGATTTCCAGCTTGCTCCTTTAAATCTATTCTTAAATTTAACTAATGTAATTTCAACAATTCATCTTACCTTCCCTAAATTCTCTGATTCTCTGTTGTTGTTTTTTGGAGGGAGGGGGGGGGGTAGGAGGTGGTACATCATTCAATTCCCCTTGCTATTTCTAAACAGATATTCAAAGAATTTGTTAAATCCCCAATACCAAATAATGCACTGTAAGCTTTGATTTTGTCCATCCCTGAAATAGCCAGGTCAACCTCATGCCATTTTGTTTTCCCGTTCAAAAAACTTGGACAGACCCATTTCAAGAGATGGTCTTCATCTATCATGTTACCACTCATAATTCTTCACCTTTCAATCGCTATCTTCATCTCTGAAGTCCGATGACCATCTCTTGCCCAATATGATATCAATGGTGAGATATAATGCACCATGGTCCGAACTAGTTTCAACACCCTTCTCTCATGCTCTCTCTCTCTTTCTCTCTCCCACTAGCAGTTTATCATCCCTATTCTTTCTATCATGCTCCATCATTTTCTTTCTTTCTCTCATTTTTTCCTATGAAATGTATCACCCCTCTTTCTTTCTTGCTTTCTCTTATCTCCCTTTCTTGAACTTCTCATCTCTTTCTTCCCATCCCCCACCCCACTCTCTCTCTTTCTCCCACTATCAGTTTATCATCCAGGTTTTTCTCTTGCTCCCCTTCTCCTTCTCCCCCTCTCTCTCTTTCTCCCCTATCCCCCTCTCTCACTCTCTATATCTTCTTCTCTCTACAGACCAGTGCGTATCCATGGCAAACTGAGTCAAGAGGCAGCTGATTCCAGAGCGAGCTTTAACCCATCTCCATATTCACCCATTTTTTTTTTTTTTTTTCTTCATGCGGTTTGGTCAAACTTTCCACAGAGAATACTACTTGGACTGAAATGGAGCCTTTCAAGAAAAAGAGCATTGGGTGAGGGGAGGGGGGTCTGTTGGTATTAGGATAACTGGTATCAATAAGCACAAAAACCTGCTTTTATTTTTTAATGGAGCATAAAGTGCAAATACCTGTATGAAGTTCAAAGCAATTAAACAAGAGAAATAAGGGCACATAAAAAGTCAATGAAGACACTTTGTAATTACATTATTGGCCTATAACACATTTTAATTGAAGGTACTTTGATTAACCAAATCATATGCATGAAAAAGACCTATGGGAAGCTTTTAAACTGTTGTACTATGAAGTCATGTATTACAAAAGAGACAAAATATATGCTGGGTGTTAAAACATTAATACATATATAAAGCATTTACATAGACATAGTTTTTATATTTAAAAAAGTGCACAAACCTATATGGCTTGATGTAAATATTACACTGTCAAAGACAGTATTGAATGGCCAAAAAATAATCTTTCATTCCAGAGCTTATTACTCTAGACAAATGAATTGCATTTATAGTTTGTTATGCAATATCCATACCACTCATAAGAGTTCTTGATCTATACCCATTAATCCTTTGTGAAGTATTCACATATTAGACAAAAGTGGTTTCTATGAATGTATCACCATGACAGTACTAATTCTACAACTTATCATTTTATCATTTACATACAGAAAAATAAGTTTATACAAATCTACTCTGCTAAAATTCCTAACTAAACCTGGGACCTGTTTCACAAAGCCTTTTTTCAATGACAAATGACAAAAGTCAGTGCCAAATCTGCTGATAACCAATCAGAAGCAAGGATTTCAGTAGCTTATAACAGAAACTGTCATTTGTCACTGATGAAAAGTTTTATGAAACACCCCCCTGCTCTAGACATCACATATAATCAGGGTTGATCACAAAACCTTTCTTCTTTGTCCCATCACTGCTCTCTCCACCTATCGTGGAGTTGCTGGTGAGGCTGATGTTGGTGTTGGAGTCTCCGAGCTCTACGCTGCCTACGGTGTCTTCGCTGTACATGCTGCTAGGTCGGGAGGTGCTGCGTGCGCCTAGCTCATCCACGTCTTCCTCGTCAGAGCTCCCGGGGTTGATGACGTACTTGCCGCTCCTAGGATCAATGAGCAATGGAAAGAAGGTTAAAGGGGTGTTCTCCTGACGGTGTTAGGACTAAGAATGATGAAAGTGAGCTGTACTAGGTGAAGGCTTTAATAGCATGAAGTCTTCCAAAGTTTCGGCTACAATAATATGCATCAAGCTTTAAACATTTGTTATTTAAATTACATGAATGTAGACTGGTATAACTAATGACTTTATTGTGGCCTTCAAAAATGTTATACTTCTTAATTTTTTGTGCTGAAAGCAGTTTAAACCAGCCATATTGTAATATTGTAAACAAAGTTTTGAAAAGGATAATCTTGTCTTTGAAGTATAATTAGGTTCAATCATAAAATGCGAAGTCAAGTATCGTAGAATAATGATTTTATAAAGATGGAAAAAAAAAAGAAAGAAGGGTTTTGTCATTACAAACTTGACCTACAAAATTATATTTCTAAATGTCAAGGCACAAGAAATATGGAGTTCAGAAGTTCTTTTTCATTTTACATGGTTTGAATGTTTTAAATGTCTTAATTGAACACCACTGCCGATTTGTATAATTCTGACCAAAATAATAATTGTCAATTTTTTGTCAGATTTATTTAATACAAAGATTCCAAAGCATCAACTCATATTAGTAAAGTGAACCAACTGATATTAAAATATATACATATCGCTTCATGAAAAATAGTACCACATGTACAATTTTTAAAGATGAGAGAATAAAAAAGAATAAGAAAAAAGAAAGATTCAAATTATGTTAATTAATGTACCATGCTACAATACTTCAGTGAAATCGGGAGATTAATACCCACAACATCTGTTTGCACACATTATATTTTAGAATAGAAATATTGTATAATTTAATCAAAATAAATGTAAATGAAAAAATAAAGTTTTAGAATGAGATCGATAATATTCTTTTAATCAAATGTCAAGTGCAAAACCATGCCATATATATAGATTCAAATAAATGAGGAAAAAATAACAAAATTATTAATGCAGTTTTTGTTTTACATATTAGTGCTGTCTATGAGCATCTATGACATGTCTATACTATCAAAGCAGACAGCCACCTTAACCCATGCAAAGCAAAAACAGGTTATCAAAGTTAGGTGTTCCAAATAAATAATGGTTATGATTGGAATGCCATTTCACACACTTGATAACTGATTACATAATCATGTACAAGAAGTTAACAATACAATGATTCTCTTCGGAATCTGCACACACAAGTACATGCAGATTTTAGAATCACAGCTGGCAACACCTTGGTATTTGGTCTAACAACAAGTCTCTTCAGAGCTAAAAGGGCATTGCGGTTTGTTAATGACCTTCTTGCCCTCCTCAGACGATGTTAACACTCATTATAATCAGGGATAAAATGTTTGACAAAGTAATCATTTCTGTGAAAAAAAGAAAATCAATCAATGCAGCATATCTGTCCATCAACGACCAAGGCATCTGCCCTCAAATGACATAGACAAAGGAATACAGAAACATTATGTTGAATGAAATATTCAAGCAAATAAAGGTGATAAATATGCATTGATCACATAGTGTGGGGTGTATGTGATGGTAAAATGATCCTCACATGCTCTAAATGTGAGGATTATATCTCATCATCTCCAAAACATAACACTTCTACCCCTGGCTAAATCTAGACCAAAAGAGTAGGCAATCGTCATCAGCACTTGTCGTGAAACGAATATCTGTTCTTCATTCGATCATACGCTTTAATTCACTCATCCTCTTTAACATGATAAAGCTCCCCACTCATCAGTCATAGTCACATCCAGTTTAGAGTTTCAGTGCCACTACAGAAGATTGATTATTAAAATATACACCACCCTCCATGCTACTCCTTCTTCCCTCTGAGCTGTTATCTTCCAGGAGTCAGAACACTCTAAAAATCTGCAGTTTATGAATTTCATATCATAAAAAATACAGAGGGTTGTACTATAACACCATTAATGCCCCTCTAAAGTTTTGGGAGCCCCACAAATTTGATGGAAAAATTTAACTTAAATTGTATCATATTGTGAAAGGGGATGTCATTTAAGTGACATTTCTCCAATGATTTTCAAAACGAATGTGTGTGAAGTCAAATATTGATGAAAGAATGCAAAATTTAGGTCTTGTGCATACAACCCCCCCCCAAAAAAAAAAATGTATTCTTTTATCAATACTGGACTTCTTTTGGGAAGAAATCTTTGCAGAAGTGTGTTTTAAATGACATCCTCTTTCACATTATGATGCAATTAAGTGGAATTTTGCCATCAAATTGTTGGCAGATTTGGGGCTCCCAACACTTTAGAGGGGCTTTAAACATATATTTGTTACTCATTATTAATATTGATTTGGACAGGCAATGTGTTTATGCTCTCACAATATACTCATAGGCAAGATAGTGAGTAAATAGATTCTATTCAGTAATGATTTGCTGGCACTCTGGACAAAAAAAAACATGTAAGAATTCCCACCCCTACTTCTTTGATTTGGTATTGGTAATTTTACAATCGGCCTCACATGTATGGTCTCACCTCAGTAGCCTCTTAATGTTGAATTCTGAACAAAAGAGGAACAAATTCTGACACCCCTAAACATTTAGTCATGATCACATATTCCATGAATAATTGAAGAGGAAAGATGTCTGTTTGGAGCCAGCAGGGCATTACCTCATGTACTTGAATACACAGTCAACGTTCTTGTGGCTCTGAAACAGATGATCCCTTTATCAATCAATGCTTCCGTCATGAATAACCCTTTTCATTATCGTGTTCAAGTTCACACCGCACTTCAATTCATAGTCCCATGTGGCAGTCACATGCATTGAAGCTCTCCTCTGTTGTAGAGGTTAACAACCTACATACATGTGTCCTCTGTAGTACATATACCCTCAAGCTTTCAAATCATTGTATCATCTGCTTAAAGCCAGAAGGGTACTAGCTCATATGCTTCAACACAGAGTTAATGCCTTCCTGGCTCTCAACAGAGAGTTTGATTGAATGAGGTATGCCCCTGTCAACATTAACAGGAAGATATTTTTCATCTTGGACTTAAAATAGAAGCATGCCTTGCAAGCTTGATATGGCACTGTCTTGCAAGGAATCCTCCCGCAAATATCTAGCAATCAGTGGAAAATAGGAAAGATGGTGTCTTTTCTAATATCACTAAACATTTCTTATTAACTCAATTTGATGACAAGAAGCTACTCTCAGCTACTTGTAAACACCCTGTTTCCCTTTCATTAATTCAATGTTTAAAGTCAAAATGAGAAAAGATGCTGTATGTTTCTAATGCTTCATTCTCTCAACAGTTTTATACATTGAAGAGCGCTAATACTAATGGAGATTTCCCGGTGGAGCAAATTACTGGAGCTACATGTTAAAATAGAATAATCAGTTTATCCTATATGTCACACCAGATCAACAAGAGTTAAATGGATAGTCGACAAAAAAGAAGAAGAGGGTTTTTGACCTCGCTCCCTGAAGTCATCATATCTTCATCTTGGTGTTCAAAGGAGAATGGTGGAGAAAAAAAGAGGTGCCCTGTTTAACAGAAAGAGGGCAATCCTGCGAATTCTGTTTTGAAATAATCATCGTGATGGGTGCAGGGGGGAAATGAGATGTAGTGGTTATGATGAAGAGAGTTATCCTGTTTGTAATGATGCCCTCCAGGTCATCCCGGTCACAAAAGGGGACGACATGTTAGCAAACGACAGTGTCATCAAGCACGTTTTATGTTTTATACCTCTTTCACAAACCCATGCCCTTATTATCCGCATTGAACTAATGCACATTATTTTAGTGCGGTTCAATTCATAAGTCCTATAATGCTACTAAAATGCTATTATTTTGCATACTTGGGTTAATGAAAGGGGTATTAAACAAACTATTCTAATTAAGAAATTCCCACCAATTGAAAATAAAATAAACAGAAGTAGCTCTTTATTGATAAAAGGAAAAGACTTGTTCAACTTTAGGACACTACTACGCCAGCCAGCCTCATATTTAGAAATATCCTCATTCAGAAATTGTACGCCAGTTGAAAGAAGGAGAGACTTTTCTTTGATAAGAGGTATAAATGAAATGATATGATATGATATAAAACGCCATTTGGGCATTTATGTTTTCCAAAAGTAAACTTATTACTGATTTAATTTGAGGTTTGTGAGAGATCTATTTACCAAAAGTGGGAACAAAGACAGTAAAATATAAGTCGTTTATGTAAAATATCAGTAAAGTAATCTTCAATCTGTGAACGTTAGTACAAATAGGCTGCTGAACTAAATTCCTTGAATAAAGTTCTATTTACGCAGTAATTAGGACTGTTACCTGTGTAACACATGGGGTAAAAGGCACAGGGTTCCTTTGAAATAAATGAAAGTAAAGTTAGATAATTTGGGAAACCATGTGTATTTATAATGACTGTAATTTAAAAAATGTTATAATGACACGAGATGTAACAAATTAGTGTGATATGAAAATAAAGAGACAGTGTTTTATAATGGGTGATGTCGTTAAAGAATATTTGAGAATTAACTCCTCATCTTTCTTACGTATAAGTGCTTGCCTTTCAGTAAACATAATCTTTAACATGCAGTATATTATTTAGTGATACATGTAAGTAGTTAATCATATATTCATATACATACAAATTGCAATGCGTAGCCATAGTGCATGTAAGTACTTTGAACTATATATTATGTTTCCTTGCATGTGAATTCTAGCATAATTAATAAAAAGACATTTTTGTTGGCCATTGGCTATTTGTTTTGCATTTGTTTTTATGCCCCCAAAGATGCACTGCATAATGCAAGCCATCCAGTTGTAAAAAACTATAAATCACATACTCTTAGGACTGTAAACAAAGGAATCAAAGACACATGACCTTTCCTTAGGCCAGTGAACTCGGCTTAAAGTATGAAGGCTCTTTCAAAGAATGCAAAATATAGAAATGAAATATAGATAGAGGAGCTCTCAAATAACATCCCTCAAAACATAAATCAGT